ATAATTTCCTTCTTATATTTTTAGTGCTACTCATGAGTAAAGCCATCTGGGTTTGGGGTTTTCCCTACGGGCAAGGTTCTCATTGTCACTTGCATTTTACATGGTGACCCCTTTCCTCCTTGTGCTCTCCGATCACTTGTGTCGGCAGGGAGTCTGTCCACTGCTGTGTGGCGTTTATTCGCACGAAGCAGTTCGTTATTTTCTTTCTCGACTGCTGATTTTGTCCAGCCTGGAGCTCCATTGCCACTCACTGCCTTTTATTCGCACGAAGCAGTTCGTTATTTTCTTCCTCTACTGCTAGTTTTGTCCAGCCTGGAGCTCCATGCCACTCACTGGCCCCACAGCTTTATTTTAAAAACTGAATCCTGGGACCAGCAGATGGTGTAACACTTAGGCTGCTGGACTCCCACGTGGCTGACCACGGTTCGAGTCCTGGACCCAGTGACTCGAAACTCACGTCAGGCACGTGTGTGTGCGTGCCCAAGGTCCCAAGAGGAGAATGGAGGAGAAAGGATTGTGGCGTGGCCATCCCCCCCTGGGGGGTGATTTCTCACGTCTTGTCTCTCTGTCTCTCTGGTGAGTGTGTGCACCCTATAGCAAAAATCTCTCCTAAAACAAAAAAAAAAAAAAAAAAAAATCAGATACCAAAAAAAGCAAAAAAAAAAAAAAACCCCACCAAAACAGAGCACCCTGGACCCTGAGTGCCTGTGCGGGGGAACATGACCGGCTCAAATTTGGGCGAAGGTCAGCGCTGCAGACGGGGACAGGCCGTCCACACCGCCCGCTTGGCTGGGCTGGCCCCTTGTGTTTTCTAGGCAGGGCTTTAAACGTCCCTGAGGAGAGAGAACGTTACGCTCATCGGGTTCTCAGGACAATTTGCCGAACGCCCGTCAGACGGCCCGTAACTACTTTGCTGTGGGCGCTGTGCTTTTGAGACCTGATGGAGCTCCTGGTACGTTTCTGGGCCAGTGGGAAGAAGGCCCCTCCGTACCCGTCCAGCTGAGAGGGCAGAGTGCCAGGGTCTGTGGCCACATGAGTCCCCTGTCATCTGTGGCAGCTCCACCTACCCAGAGCCGGGTGGGTAACGGGCTGTCTGAGCGAGCCTCAGCAGATGGTGAAACTGAGCCGTCTAGTTTGTGAGCGGTCAGGGGAGCTGCGGGACTGCAGGGACCTCATGACCACGTGCCCTGGCCACCCCTTCCCCACGGCCAGGCTAGACACTGGCTCAGCTGCCCCCAGATGCCTGGGACCCCTGGCACGGCCTTTCTGCTCTGCCCTCCGGCTTCTCAGGTGTCCAAGGGTGGGATGTCATGGCCGCGGGTCTGTGGCACTCAGCCACGCGTTCTGAGCCACGGGGCTCAGAGATGAGCCCCAGGAGCATGCAGGAACTGGCACCTGACCGGGGATGAGCGGGCCAGGTGGCCAGAGCCCATGCACTGAGTGGCCCCGCGGTGTGCACAGGATTGGAGCTCAAGGAGAGCCCAGTAGTCTTAGCTAGCCGGGAGCCTGGGGAGGGAGAGCTGTCCCCTGTGCGACCCTGTCACAAATTCCGTTGTCTGTTGCTCAGAAATACAGAAATCAGTACTTACAACAGTACAGGCGGGGGCCACGGCGGGCGAGGCAGCTAGGCCCCACGTGGAGGACTTGGCGTGAGTCCTGGACCTGGACTGGAAGGGCACACTGGGAGCACGTGTGTGTCCCAACTCCAGGTGGACAGTGAGGAGAGGGGACTGAGCGTGGCCCTGCCCCGCGGGGCGATTTCTCACCTCTTCCCTGTCTCTGTCTTTCCCTGGCGAGCACATGCACCCTATAGCAAATCAGAAGAGAAGAGTGTACAAAGACCTGAGCGTGGCGGGTCACTGAGCAGGCGTCGGTGCGCTGCGGAGAAAGGTTTAGACGGCGTTACTTCCGAGGCTCTTTCTCGATGTCAGGCTCTAAACCTTTGTTGTCGTTTTCATGTCTGTAAGTTATTCTCGAGGTTTTCCAAGCGTCTCCGTCTGGTGTGTCGGAAAGGACGGAGCTCGTACTGAGGACGAGAAAGCGCGTGGGGGGAGGTAAAGCTCCAGGGACCTGGTCAAACGCGCTGCGGCCTCAGGGTCTCGGGAAGTCGGCGGCACTCCGTCGGTCAGGCCAAACTCGGGAGCAGCGAGGCAGGCTGGCAGTGTACCCTTCTGGGTATTGCGGCAGTGCGCTGTGAACACGCCAGGCGGGCGGGACGCCGAGAAAGCAGCTCTTGTCCACAGGGTGGGTCAGTCGGAGGGCCGCGGGGCGCCGGCCACTGAGGCGAGGCTAGACCCCGACGGGAGGTGTGACCCCGTCCCCGTGGGAGCAGAGGCTGGGCCTTGCTTCCATACGGGAGGGTGGGCCGTGAGCAATCAGCTGCCGGCGGAGCGCCCCCGCCGGCGGCCGGGTGCCCCTCGAGGCAGCCGAGTCTAGCCCTGGGGATTCCAGCTGGAGACTGCGGCCGAAAGTGAGGGGGCGCGTGTGATGGGCAACAGCTGCTTCTCTCTGTGTCTCTCTAAGTTTATTTACTCATTTCTTCAGGGAATGAGAGAGGAGAGGAGGACGAGGCCCCGACAGGGTCTTGCTGGCCGAGCGTCTGCCCAGGGCTTGCGGGGTCTCGGGATGTGAACCCAGAGCCTTGCATTCCGGCTATGCCTTCTCTCATGCCCCAAACCTGCTATTCCCTGAGCGAAATTTATGAGAGGAACCGCTCACCTTAGGGTGAAACGCAGAAGGTACTTTCGTATGAAGTCCCTGGACAGTCTCTGTCTCACTTTGTTCAGAGACACGAATGTGAACCATGGCCCCTTCTCTGCTTTCTCTTTCCTTTCCTTTTTTTAGCATATATAATAGAACAGGTTCCAGAACTCGATGTTTCCCTAACTCTTGGCCTGGCAACCCTATTGCTCCCATTCTTCGGGGATACCCCGCCCCACCCCAGAGCACTGCCTGGTTAAAGAAACTGAGGAGGGATGGTTTCAAGGCCACCGCAGAGCAGTGCGGGCCGTGGAGGACAGCAGTGGCCGTCAGAGGGCGGGCCTCCGCGGAGCCTGCCCCGACCACCGGAGCAAGCCGAGCTCTTCGGCCAGTTCTTCCCATGTCCGCACTCTGAGACAGAAACGCCCGCTCTGGGCTCAGGGAGGGAGGCACGTGCTCGGGGTCCCCTCACATGTCACCTGCTTGGAGCTGCGGCCGGGGACACTTCCCAGACTGCCGGGGCAGCCCGCGGCTCTGCTGGGCAAGAGATCCGTGCAGGGGAGGGTGCGTAGGTGGCCGCGGGCTAGCGGACAGAGGGGGGAAGCGCGGTGTAGTCTGGGCGTGGCCCCTGGTGGTCCAGGACAGCCCCGTGTGGGCCAGGGCCCTGGGAGCCAGGATGCACCTGCAGAGATTTGCAGAGCCGAGTTCATATCCTCCGATTTTTCAGCGTATGGGAGCCTGCTGGCCTTGAGAAAGCATTTTCTTTAAAGGAAAATAGTCGCTGGGGGGATCAGACACATTTTTGAAATCTCTCTCTCTCTCTTAGAGTGATTTTTCGCTATAGGGCACATGTGCTTGCCAGAGAGACAGAGATATAGAAAATGAGACATCACTCCCCAGGGGAGATGGTCACACTGCAATCCCTTCTCCATTCTCCTCTCAGGATTTTAGGCATGCATGTACACAGGCCTCCGGGTCCAGGACTCGCACTGCAGGTGACCACGTGGGGGTCCAGCGACATAGCCATTACCCATCTGCTGGTCTCCCCGAAAAATCTCTTTGAGAAGACTCAGCAGTGCTCTTTAGCCTGACTTGAACCCTCCCTTCACTTACTGCAACTCCATTACGGCCAAATCCTAGCCTGGGACCAGCCACCCTGTGGGCTGTAAGTGGCAGCATGTTACTGTCACTACCGGCACGAGATGGTGCCCCGCCCTGGAGTCTCCCCGCGCGTCGGCACAAGGTGTCTCAGCAGCACACAGCACGAAGCGGGGTACATGTTGGGGATGGCAGTTACGGCGGCGTCCTCCACCTGTGTTACCCAGCGTGCGCACGCTCTGTAAGCCTGCCCCGTGCCCACAAAAACAGACAGGTCCTGGACGTAAATCAGAGGTCAGTAACAGTAACATGGCTTAAAGAATCACGGAGACACCAAGAACTACAGCGGCACACACACGGAAAAGAGAATACCCTACAAGACAGACAAACTGATTCGCAAATGACAGTAGGAAACCCTCTCCTGTCAACAGTTCCTTTAAATGACATCGAATGGCATCCCTCAGTGGAAAGGCTGAAACAGCGGCACCAGATGAGACCCAGCAGTTCGTAACCTCGGAGAGGCTTACTTTTTTTTTTTTTTTGGAGAGGTTTTCGCTATAGGGCGCGTGCGCTCGCCAGCTAGACAGAGAGAGACAGAGAGACAGAAAGCAAGAATCACTCCCCAGGGGGGATGGTCACGCCGCAATCCCTTCTCCTCCATTCTCCTCTCGGGATCTTGGGCACGCACGCACACGCGCCTGGCGTGAGTTTAAGCTTCCGGGTCCGGGACTCGAACCGCGGTTTACTACATGGGAGTCCAGCGACATAGCCATTACGCTAACTGCTGGTCCCTCTAAGAGGCTTACTTTAAATGGACGAACACCCGTAGGCTGAAGGACAGGCATGGGAAGAAATACTCCATGCCAAGAGTGAGTGAAGAGGGGGAGCTAGACTAACTTCAGAAAAACGAAACTGTAAGTCAAAGACTGTCACAGTGGGACCAGCACAATGGCTATGTCACTGGACTTCCACGGGGTCGACCGTGGTTTGAGTCCCAGACCCGGAGAGGAGAATGGGGGAGAAGGGACTGTGGTGTGGCCATCCCTCCCGCCCCCGGGGTGATCCCTGTCCCCTGCCTGTGCCCTCTCTCTGGCATGCGCTGCACCTTGTAGGAAGAACTACAGCGGCACACACACGCAGCCCTAGCTGGTGTGCGCCCGCCTCCCCGCTCGGCTGACGCGGTGACCCGCTCTCTGTTTCAGGTTGGGCTTCCCGATGACGGTGGTGTCCTGCACGGTTGGCATGTGCTACCTCCTCGTCGCTCACGTAGTGATGGGATGGACTTGAGGGCCGCTCGTGGGAGAAGAAAACGCTCACCCTGGACACACTGGGCTCGACCTTTGCCACTCACTCGGGCGGCTGCTGGGAAGCCACGGCCCCCTCCAGGACCCTTTCTCCCCGAGGACAGACGTGGGGGACACGGGGATCTCACTCGGGATCTCCTACGGGCAGATCCAGTCTAGTCTAGAGCAGACGCGTCTACACCAAATCGCTGGCCTGTGTGTCTTCTCCGCGGCTGTGTCTCTCCCTGCAATCTGTTTTATGTTAAAGTAGTCAGCACTCAGATTGTACCCTCCTGAAGTAGACTCTTGGAAAAGGCACTCTGCTTGTGAGTAAACATTTTGAATATTTCACAAAATAAACTTTTCCTGGACCGAAAGTTTTGGATCTCTTTTTTTTTCTAAGTTTTTTGTTGTTTATGTGACATAAAACTGCATTTTGGCCATTTCTATTTTTCTCTGCCGTTTTCAAGTTATTAATGAAAAGTCTAGAATTTGACTTGCAGAAGATCATGTGTCTTTTAAATAATTTTTTACGTATTTTAGAGCCCACGCGATAAGCGACGTGTGCCCGTGAGCTGCAGCCGGCAGTCCCCCAACGTGTGGTGTGCGCCTTCAGCCGTGGCCTCCCATGGGGCTCCGTGCTCAGTGTCTGCTGAACTGGTTCTTCCGTGAGCAGCCCACGTGTGGCCGGACACCAGAACAAAGGCGTTCGGGAGCCCTCTGCTGCACCCGGGGTCTCGCCAGTACGCCGTCAGTAAGGGCGTGGAAAGCGTGTAGTATGAAAAGACTGCATGGATTTCAAAACGTTTGTGCCCAGATAAACCGTACCTCAATAAAGTGTCTCTGCAGTGTTTGTGACCCCTCCCCAAGGGCGTGGCCTGTCTGCTGTCTGGAGTCCAGGAGGCCGGGATGCACCACCCGCAAAGAAGGGGGACGGATGTTTTGTATTTTCCAGAAAGTATAATGGCAAAGTGAGGTGTAAGATAAGCAGTTCTGGGACCAGCAGGTGACGTGGTTACATTGCTGGACTCCTGCATGGTTGACTGCAGTTCAAGGCCCGGACCCAGAGGCTTGACACATGCTGGGTACACATGCATGTGCACCCCAACCCCAAGAGGAGAGTGGGGGAGAAGGGGTGGTGGCATGCCCACCTCTCCTGGGGTGATTTCTCACTTTCTGTCTTTCTCTGCCTCTCTGGTAAGCACACATGCCCTATAGCGAAAAAAAAAATGAAAAGAAAAGATAGATAGTTTGGGGCCAGCAGGTGGCGTGGTGGTTAAGCTGGCTGAATCCCACATGGCCTACTGTGCGGTTCCAGTCCTGGACCTGGCAACTTTAGAAACGCATGTGTAGGTGTTGGCATGCCCGGAGCCCAAGGGGAGAGTAGAGAAGGGCCCGTGGCATGGCCACCCCGGGGCGGGGCTGAGCACGGAGCCGTGTTTGCTGCTGGGCTGCTAAGCAGAAACGCGGCAGACTGCAGATTTACGAGCCGCTGCCTTCGGCCCGGCTCTGGTGGTCGGAAAGCTCAGAGCCATGGATGCCGCAGGCCGGCCTGCAGGGAGGGGCCCAGCACTGCCAGTGCACACAGGGGACACAGGCGGGGACTCCTGGCGAGGAGCCGTGGCCTGGCGGGGTTTGATGGGGAAGCACAGCAGTGGTTTCACCGGAGGAGCAGAGCGGGAAGCCTGATGCAGTCGGGCTCCCGCCGCGTGTGCGGCTGCTCTGAAAGCCGGGAGCCGGGCCTGTGGCATCTCGTCCGTAACAGCTCTGGGCACAGCCACCCGGGTTGTAGGAGCCCGCGTCGGGGTTCTCAGGGCCGCCCGGTGAGTGGGCAGACGCAGGCCCATGGCCGAGGTGGGCACGGTCTGTTTTATTAAACAGCCCACGTGGGAATCGACAGAGCGATTACCCAACACTGTTTTGAAGTTTTATCTATTTTCCTAAAATGAATTTTCTCCGATTTGAAATAAAAAATAGCACTGCTAGTCTTTTTAAATTTTTACTTAAAGTTTTAATTTGCTCTAGGGAATCTGGGCACGAGAGAGGGCAGGAAATGAGGAGTCTCCTCGGGGTGGCCATGCCAAATCCCTTCTCTCCTCTCCTCTGGGGATTTTGGGGTAGGCCGAGTAGGATCCAGCCTCCTTCTTGTCCATGCCCCCGGCGGCCCCCAAGTCCCTTTCCCCACCTCTGCCTGTCACCACGGCTGGCTCCTGGCTCCTGGTGTCCGTCTGCCTCTCAGTGCCCGCCTGCCTCTCAAGCCCAGGGCTTCCCAGCCCACACCCCTTCCGGCCTTGGTCGTCAGTGTCGAGCCCCCGCAGCCTTGCCTGTGCTGACGCTAAGCTCGGCCGTGCCTCCCACACCGGAGTGGATTTGCCGGCTCCCCCCGTCCCCTAGCTCCGGCTCAGGGATGGAAACACCGCAGGCGCCCTGGGAGAGGCCAGGCGGGGCGGCAGCTGACCCTACGCACTGTCGCCTGTTCGCGGTGCGTCCTCGGTACCAGGACCGCTCACGTCAGGCGTGCTGCTGCGTGTGGCTCTGGTGGCTGCAGGCCGGCCCTCGACCTTCCACCTCGTTCCCGTACGTCTGTGGACCCGCAGTGGAAGGAGGACCATGGGAACCTTCATGGGAGCTGGACCTGGGGAAGCATTTGTTAAAGGCAGCGGCTGGTGGGCCGTCCAAAGCAGAGGCCCGGCCCGGTGTGCAGGTTCACAGCGTGTCCAGCGCTGGCGGCAGGGGGCGCCACAGGTCTGCCGCAGCCAGCAGGTGCGCTGGCCTTTGCCGGAGACCCCCAGAGCGGGGTAGGGCGGCCTCGCTCCCCACGGTGGCCGCGTGGCTCCTTTGCTGCGGCTCTCAGGCGCAGTCGGCACCTGGGGGCAGGGATTTGGACGGGAATCTTGCCGTCTGCCACGGGGCTCCTGGCCTGTCGGTGGCAGTGGCTGAGTGGCTGGACGCCTGGTCGATGGCCTCTCGGGGCCTGCATGGCGCTCCTGGGCTGGCTCGGGGCAGGGCACGGGCTCTGGGAGAGCACCAGAGGCACCTGTGCTGCCCTAGAACAGGCTCTGTGCTAAGGTGGAGGGTTTTCAGGGGGCTGCCTGCCCCGGGTCTGCGTGGGCGCCGGGGCGCAGCGAGCATGCGCCTGTGTCGTCCGGTTACAGCTGCCCGAAGTGCACCGGGACAAGGCCCGTCCCTGCCCCTCTGTCGGCGGTGTGGCAGAGGCCATGGCCCTCACATAGTCTCTGCAGCCACCGGCAGGACGGTCCTCACAGAGGCCCCTGCCCTCGCACAGTCCCTGCAGCGGCCAGCAGGGTGTCCTTACAGGGGTGCGGCTGTGTGCACCGCGCCACGCCGACTTCCTCTTGCTGGCAGAGGGCTAGACGGCTCCGTGGCGGCGCGCCGGCTGCCCTTGGACCGGGAGGCTCCAGGTGCTGCAGAGCCGGCGCTCACAGGCACGACGGGGCCGAGAGACGAGACGCACCAGGAACGGGAGAAGCAGGACGGCCGAGGCGCCCAGGGTCCACAGAGCCGTCTACCTCGATGGCGCTTTATGCGACGGATGAAAACCGGCTTTCTCAGTCGTGCCTGGGTTGACACACGGCCTGCGGACACATGCAGAAGAGGCAGGAGGCCGCCCTCGCCCTCCGGGGCTGTGCAGGACCCAAGGACCCCACACCGGGCTGGTCCCGAGAGAAAGCGAGCCCAGAGATGTGGCCACAGCTGGTACCGACCACGGGCCGTGCAGGGCGTGGAACCCAGCAGCCTCACCTGCAAAAGAAAACCGAGTGACACGGCAGGAGGGGACGGCCTAACTGCAGCAGGGACACAACGGAACGCACTGGCCTGTCACCTGCTTTTGTCACTCACAGAATCCGTCCAGGCCGTGCAGTACCGCCATGGGAACTCGGAGTGCGGTCGAGGGAAACAGGACCCGCTGCAGGAGGCCAGAGGCCCACGGGGACTGCAGGGACAGGGGCTGAGCGTGCCCGGGCCCTGGCTGACCGAGGCCGTTGAGCTCCACCAGTGCTGGGGGAGGCCGGCTTGCCGCGTCTTCAGGCGGGCTCCGAGCCAGCCTTCTGTTCCCGCTCCCTGTGACTAGAGGCGGCAAGCCCCACCTGC